AATGACTTCTGAAGATGAGAGAATGGGAGGTGTGCATCTATGCGCCATTATTTCTCATGTTTCTTTGAGATGCATGTGCGTGCGTGCGTGTGTTCGTGTGCATGCCGGTTTAGGCTCAGGTACAATCAAGATCTTATTCTGGAGATTTACCTCTAATTGCTTAATCTCATTATGAACTTGTAATGGGTGCAAAACAAACGAGCTTTCAATGAGGCCAAGGTTATAAATCTGGTGTTTGGTGAAATCTTTCAGGAACTGTGAACCTTGATGGATATTGACATATTTTTCCATATCTTGGAAATGCACCACTAAGGAGAATTTGATAAAAGTGGTTATGGATAGTGCTATGGCAATTGTATGGCATTTTGGATGGTGGCTGTGCTGTTACTGCTGGTGACCGACAAAATGTAGCTGGGCTTGGTCAATGCTACTAAAACCGGCTGGTGGTGGCAGTCTGAGTTGGAGAAAATTTATTTTTGTTTTCTATATGTTAAACCACCTCGTCTAGGAACTAAGGGATAAATTTATTATTTTTGTTTATATATTCCAACTATCCCCCCTTCAAGTGCAAGCCAGGTTCATTTATTGTTCAGAGGTCTAACACGTAAATTTTTTGTAAATTAGTGACGATTAAAATTGCACCTAGGCCTTTTTGTCAGCTTTAATACCATGTTGAACCAACTAACAAGAAAAACGATTATTTATTATTTATATTAAGATTTTCGATACTATTTTTTTCTTTTACATTTTGTTTTGCGCCCATCTAGCTACTGATAATACCACCTTCCCCTGGAAGTATGTCATCTGCCATTCACTTGTTCACTTTGTGACGATTTCTATTAAATCTGTATTGGACACGGATTCAATTGCTACATTGAAAATTCAGAACAGAAGTTTGATTACCAAAAATGGAACCTAATTAATTTTTATCTTCCGTACCGATTATCTAATTGTTATCTTTCCATGTATGTGGGGAAATTGTCAAGTGTATTGAATTTTTAGCATCTATGTTCGTTTTTGATATATTCATCACACAAAAATGATTTAACAGTGTTTAATGAATTTGTGAAGCAGAGATGGGTGGAAGCTGTTGAGTCAATGAAGAGGAGTTTGACACTGCGGTTTCCATATTGATGTCTTAGAGGCCAAGGTTTGTGACTGATAGTATTTGTTGCGTATAAGAGCAAGCATTTGAATCTGAGGATCAAAGTTTCAAACTAATTGCTTGACACCACCAAAATGAGACACATGAGAAGTTTTTGGATGCGGCACCTTTCTTTAGCAACTCTTGGCACGGGGTGAGCAGTTACTGATAGCCTTGCATTTTCTAGTTAGGACAACATAAACACGATAGCGTATGAGGATGAATTAGTAATGATCCCTTGAGAAGCTACGAAAGGCATCATCGAATGAGCAAGTTTCCAAGAGAGAGATGGCTATTACTATAGCCTTTGAGCTTGAATGTGTTCTTAATAGCTATGCATGTACGTGAGTTTGAATTAGGTTAAAACTATATCGTATTAAAGAGCTTCTTCTCCCAATTTCTGGAAAATTACGTTTTTCTCCATCCGTAAATAATGTTTGATCAGACACGCTGGTCGTGCAGAGACAAGCACCTGATGCTATTCCTCGTAGTCATTTAGCATATCTTTATGTAAGTTGCATCATCTCATATAAAGTATCTATTCTCTCCTTTTAGATTCAAATTTACAGACAGTGATATCAAATAAATCATTTTCATGTGGCATTATTATGTTTTTGTTTGGCGTTCGATTCAAACATTGTATTGCTTCTATACTTCTCTCTAAATGTATGTTCAACAACGAGTGAATTGTCCAAATGGTCACTAAACTTTGCAAAAAGTTTCCAAGGGATCATTGGACTTTAAAAATCGTCTAAATGGTTACCAAACTTTGCAAGTGATTCCTGGGAAACCTTTTGCAAAATTCAATGACCATTTAGATGATTTTTAAAATTCAGTGACCCGTTAGAAACATTTTGTAAAGTTCAGTAACTATTTAAGTGATTTTTAAAGTTCAGTGATCATTTGGACAATTCACTATTCAACAACCACAACCTTTAACATAACTTGCACTTTAAGGCTGCTTTTGAAATTGACTGTTAAATGCATATTGAGGACCAAAGCTTGCCCAGGCTCAGTTTCTTGCAACTACAAACACCACAACTCGACAACAATGATCCAAGACAATAACCAAGCTTTTACTTCTGGTTGTCAATGAGATAGTTCACTTAAGAGACCACAAAGGTGCACAATATCTCATATATTATCACCACTAGGGATAGAAATCAAAAGAAGGCAAAAAAGTAGAAGAAAACTCGCAAACGGCCGAACACAGAGAGAGGTAGGGGACAGTCTCATCACAAAGAGAAAAGGAGACCCAATTTATCAATTAAAAATGACCTGACTATGGTAAGTATAGCTACGTTAACTATTGTGTCAAAGTAGAGGCTCGATAAGTTAGTAAATGGGCTCACAAGTAATCTTTCTCAATTGTGGCCATCCAAGAAAGCAGATTGGGCCACGAACAATACTAAAATATTTAGGTTGCTTCGAATGACCCAATTAACCTTTGGGTCGTATCGTCTCGATTGTGATGTTATCTTTTCGTTCAGTCATTTAGCTAAACCGATTGAAAACTAAAATCGAATAACAACACAGTCCGAGGGGATCATTTGACAACAAATTGCCTAACATTGACATTGCTCCAAACACGGGATATCTTCTATTTCACTTACGAGGTTGGATAATATGAATTCATTTAATATATTGGGCAAAGTTGATGCTCCTTTTAAGCATTAATTAACTTGGCCCCTGTTTGGACTCCATTAAAATTAAATTTTGGGGAAAATGTATTTTGGAATGATGATTATTTAAAGAATTGTGGTTAAAAAATAAAAAAAAAATTTAATTTAAGTGTAATATTATTTTATTGAGGGAATCTGTATTTGAAAATTGAAGAGAGGAAGTGCATTTTTGAAATAATGAAGCCAAAACAATTATGACACTAAATAATTGAACGTAAAGAAGGACTAGCAAAGTTGTCAGTATGTTGATATAAACAGAATTAGATATGAATAAGAAAGATAGATAATAAAATTTGTAAATTGTCATATTCAACCGTCCATAATATATCATACCAAATATGACGTTGAGAATTATACGAAACAATAGTACAACCATATGTATGAATACGAAGGGAAAGTTGAAAATGGCAAAAATACTACTAACCAAATGCTTCAAATATTTAATATATAATGGAAAATTAGCAGAAATCGTTTGTATTCATTGTTAAAATAGTCCTTATCGTTTTAATTTTGATATTTACACTATCATTTCAAACATTTCTTGTAGAATTGGTCATTTCCATCATGTTACTTTAATTTTACCGTGAAATAAATACATGGAATACACTCATATTATTTGAAAAATATAAAATAGTCAAATCACTATATTTTTTGGGTAATTGTATATACTAAACTAAATTGCAGAAAGTTTTATCGTGACCATTCATAAAAATAAAAGGAGAATTGAAACACAACGAATCCCAATGTTGATGCCAATAAGTTTTATTTTCACTACCATCTTCCCAGCCATTCCAGAACCGGCAATTTCAATGTTGATGACAATAAGTTTTATTTTCAATTTTTTAAATAGATTGTGGTTTTTAATAAATCGATTTTACTCTGGATAGTCGAACCTTGTTGAATCAATCAACCAATTTCTGGAGGCTTGTCTTGAAAAGGACAATGACATTATTAATCTCTTCATTGCATCTTTACCATTGCCATTGTGTTGGGTTTGGGCAATAAATACCATTTGTTTAGAAATGAACTTCTTAGCAAAACTTCATTGCAGACACCAAAAACCATGAGAATAAAATCCACAATTTAGGTTGTTAAATGGGCTGTGCCTATTTTTATTTTGCGTTTTTATATTTTAATGAGTATAGTTTTGATATAAAGAATGTTAGGTTTCATCGTGGAACATATTGAATTGAATAAAGTTATCCATCTTTAAAAATTGAATTAATTTGCAAGTATAGATTTTTTTAAGAGAAATAATACAGAAAAATAGTTGTCTTCCCGTGATTTGCCGTTGCCAAAAATTATTTTTGACAACGGCCAATTACAAAAATCTGTACTTGTAGCATTGGTTTTGAAGATTCACTATATTTTTTTTAACGGATTTTCATATTAAATTTGCATTAGTTATTGAAATTGAATAAACATTTATTTACCATTACTAAACATTAATAAATATTCACCGAAAAGAGGGAAAAATATAGTAACTTGACTAATTTACCCTTTTCAAATAATATGAATGAATTCCATGTTTTTATTTCACGGTGAAATTAATGGATCGTGGTAGAATGGAACAATTTAGCAAGGAATGTTTAAAATGAGGGTGCAAATATCAAATTTGAAATGGTGGGGACTGTTTTAGCAATGAATGCCGACAATAGGTACTTTTTCTACTAATTACCCAATATAAAGCTTGTTTGGTGTTGATTTTGAAAATCAATTTTTTAATCGTTAGCTTAAAAGATGGATCTTATCTGTAAGTGAAGAAGTCAAAAAGACGATTTTTTTGACCTGAAAAATCAACACCAAATAGGGGGCATATAATCAGCAAAAAAATATAACGGGATTTCTACGTTAAACCTACAGGAACATGTTCTGTATTCATTACAAGAGACAACTTTATTTCATGTATTCTTATAGCGTGAAATTCGAGGGGCAAAAGTCGTAAATAGGGTTGGAGACGGATGAGGCTCGAGTTGTTCTCGAGTGCCCCAAGTGGAAGCTTGCTACACAAATAGGAAAAATTGATTGAATATTAAAAATTGGCATACGTGTCAACCATTCATTTGATAGTTTGAAAAAAAAAAAAAAAAAAAAGAGAGACTCATACAGGTGCTGCGTGTCCTGTCAAGAAATC